CATGCCCAACTATTAGCCCAAAATGGATATTATGCTTCACTTAATGAAAAGCAAAAGGGATAATCTCACTCAAATCCAATCAGTAAAGAATTGTTTTTTAGTTAATTATAGTTTTAGGATGTTTGTTGGAAAAAATAGTTGAGGACTAGGTTCATTTTTTCATTAACTTTAAAAAACACATTTAATTTATTAATCCCTTGTATTTACTAGGAATCTCAGCTCTATATCACGATTCGGCCGTTTGTTTAATGAAAGATGGGAAAGTGATTTTTGCTGCATCTGAAGAGAGGTTTACTCGAAAAAAACACGACAGTAGGTTCCCAATTTCAGCTATTTCTCAAGCACTAGAATTTGAAAATATTACCATTCAAGAAATTGAATTAGTCTGTTTTTATGAGAAGCCTTTCCAAAAATTTGAACGTATTATTGATACGTATTCCGAAAATTCTCCTCGTGGTTTTAGGTCTTTTAAGAAAGCTATGAAAAGTTGGTTTTCACGAAAGTTATGGGTCGAAGATATTATAAAAAAGGAATTAAAGTACAAAGGAGAGGTTGTGTTCTCAGGGCATCATGAATCTCATGCAGCGGGGACCTTTTTTACTTCACCTTTTCAAACATCTACAGTAGTAACTCTTGATGGGGTGGGGGAAAGAGCAACAGCTTCTATTGGAATTGGAAATAAGAATAAAGTAGAGTTATTGAGGACTCAGCAATTCCCACATTCGTTGGGATTATTTTATTCTGCCGTCACGTATTATTGTGGATTTAAAGTAAATTCAGGGGAATATAAGTTGATGGGCCTTGCTCCATATGGGAACCCCATTTATGTCGATCTCATGAAAGAGCACTTTATTAAGATGAAAGAAGATGGGAGCATCAGATTGAATCAGGAACATTTTAATTTTCAAGTAGGGCTTACCATGATAAAATCTTCTTTCGAAAAAAAAATGAAGAAAGTAAGGAGAAAGCCTGAGACAGAGTTTACACAATTTTATCAAGATGTAGCAGCTTCAGCTCAATTGATAGTAGAAGAAGCATTGGTAAAAACAGTGACTTATGCAGTTAATCTTACAGGTATTTCAAGAGTTTGTCTTTCGGGTGGAGTAGCGCTAAATTGTAAAGCAAATTACAAATTGATAAAACTCCTCGATCAAAAGAATATATGGATTCAACCAGCGTCAGGGGATAGTGGAGGAGCTATCGGAGCTGCTTTTGTAGGGTGGTATCATCACCTTAAAAAAGAAAGAAAAACTTTTGAGGATACATTAGATAACCAAGTGTATCTAGGAACTTCATATGATAAGAAGAGCATAAAAGAAATTCTATACAAAAAAGAAATTAGGTTTGAGGAGCTGGGACGGTCAAAGTTGGTTGAAGACATTGCCAAACAATTACAGTCCAAAAAAATTATTGCTTTGTTCCAAGGAAGAATGGAATTTGGACCAAGAGCTTTGGGGAATAGGTCTATTCTAGCGAGCCCCTTATTCGATGATATGAAAGAATATGTAAACCAAAAGATTAAAATGAGGGAAGGGTTTCGTCCCTTTGCTCCAGTAGTGAAAGTAGATGAAATGAAGGAATGGTTTAACATGAAAACTTCCTCAAAATACATGCTTTTTACGCATCAAAGTGAGAAAAAGGAGGTCATCCCTTCTTGTATTCACGAAGATCTCTCTGCAAGGGTACAAACTCTAGATAAAAATGATAATGAGATGCTGTACGAGTTACTTGATGAAATAGAAAAAAGATCTGGAGTACCCATTTTAATTAATACTTCTTTCAATGTGAGAGGAGAGCCTATAGTTGAATCTCCTGAAGATGCTCTTTCTTGCTTTTTTAATACAGGGATAGATACCTTAGTCATAGAAGGATTATTAGTGAAAAAAGAATGGAATTTGACATCTATACAACATAAAACTAGTAGTTATGAGTTGGATTGATTCAATATTCAATGTGTCCAGACAGTTTGCTGGAGTTAAACAAAAGCAACAACAATTTTGTTGGTTAATTGCAGCTGGTATAATTATATGGTTGGTTTATAACTACTTCTATAGAGGTCAAACTGATGTTGTAATTGTACCCAGTCTTATCTTTGTATTCGTTATGCTTCTTAGCTTTATGCTTCCTAGACTTGTTTATTACCCATTATTTATTTGGTATCTGCTAGGGGAAGTTATGAGTGAAATCATCTCTACTTTAATATTAGGAATTGTTTATTTCGGATTTTTTTTTCCAATTACTTATATAATGAGGATATTTAGGAAAAAAAGAGATGAGTCGGGATGGGTTGAGTATAAACAACCTAATTCTGATTACAGAAAAATGTATTAAACCAATTATGAGTAAACTATCAACTATCAATCAGTTATTTGGTTTTTTATGGAGACAAAAAAAGTTTTGGTTGATTCCTATAGTGATTGTTCTATTCTTGCTTATAATTTTAGCCTTATTGGGTGAAGGGTCTGTGGTTGCCCCTTTTATCTATTCTATATTTTAAGTCGGAATGAAAAAAAGGGAAATTAAGTCAAAGTTGAAAATAGGACTCTATATATTATTGATGTTTTTTCCATGCATGGAAATTGCAATCAGGATAGTAGGAGGCAAACCTTACCATCAAGAAAATTATTCTTTAGCTATTTCACCCTCATACGCTTACGAAGGAGATGATTCGTTAGGAATTCAATTGAATCCAGGAATTTTTGACATCACACTTAATAATAAAATAAAATTTATAGCTACTCATACTGATAAGAGAGTAAGGAAAACGAAAAGAGTAGATTCATTACCAATTGAAAGAGAAGTTGCGGTAATGGGCTGCTCATTTACCTATGGATATGGAGTAAATGATGAAGAACATTTTACTTCATTGCTTCAAAAAAAACATCCATCATATAATTTTACTAATTACGGTGTAATTGGTTATGGAACGGTACAGTCTTATTTGCAGTTGAAAAAAAAGATAGCTGAGAATGAACAGCCTAATGAGGTGGTTCTAGTTTTTTCTTCATTTCATTTGGAAAGAAATGCATTAACTCCTACCTATAAAAGGGCACTTAAAATTGGTTTTAATCAATCTATGGCTGAGGTGGAAACCTTTATGAGTGGGGCTAAATTTCCCTATTACAGTTCCGTTGATCCTATGCAATTGAAATTTCTTTCTTGGGATAGTTTGTATACTGATTGGCTAGGGAGAACTCATTTTGCATCAGTTAATTATGTGCAAACTGCTTGGGATAATATTCAAACAAAAAAAATAGACCTAATAGAAATCTCTAAAGAAATTATATTGAATTTCAATAAATTATGTACAGAGAATGACATCCGATTTAATTTAATTTTATTAGACAATGAAGAGGCGATGACGGATTTCTTTGAAGAGGTAAACAATCATGGATTCCCTATCATTAAAGTAGGGTTTGATTTTTCGGATTCTAAGTGGACAAATTTGCCTTATGACATGCATCCTAACCAAGATGGTCATATAAAAATAGCCGAGGCAATTAATAAGATGTATAATAATCAAAATCAATTTCTATAATGGCACAGTTCATTTATTATGTGTGGGTAGGATTAAATGTGATTTTATTTGTGTATGCATTTTTTGAAAGTATTCTCTTAATTTTTGCTTTAAGAGCTTCAAAAAAAAGTGCTCCCAAACGATTGGACTCTTATCCCTTAGTAACTATTCAATTGCCTTTGTATAATGAGAAGTATGTAGTCGAACGACTTATCGATTCAGTTTGTAAGTTGGATTATCCTAAAGACAAATTAGAGATTCAACTCTTAGATGATTCAACTGATGAAACTAGTGAGATAATTCAAGAGGTTTTACCCAAATATGTTCACTTAGGAAATAATATTTACCGGCATCAAAGAAAAGAAAGAGTTGGCTATAAGGCAGGAGCCCTAGAGGAAGGGATGACTCTATGTAAGGGAGAGTTTATTGCTATTTTTGATGCTGATTTTATTCCAAATAGAGAGTTTTTAAAACAAACATTACCCTATTTTTCCGATAAAAAAATAGCAGCAGTGCAAACCCGTTGGACTCATCTTAACGAGAACAGGTCTTTTTTAACTCGTGCTCAGGCTATTATGTTGAACACACATTTCGCAGTTGAACATTTAGGAAGAATTTCTAGTGGAGCATTTATTAATTTTAATGGAACTGCAGGGATTTGGAGAAAGGAAAGTATTCAAGAAGCAGGAGGGTGGCATTCAGATACTCTTACAGAAGATTTAGATTTGAGTTTTAGAGCACAAACAAAAGGTTGGAAGTTTATTTATTTATTTGATTCAGAATCACCCGCGGAACTTCCTGTAACTCTTGATGCATTTAAGACGCAACAATATCGTTGGTCTAAGGGGGCTGCTGAGTGCGTTAAGAAAAATATGGGTATGTTATGGAAATCCCCTTCTAGTTTATGGGCCAAGTTAATAGGAAGTGTTCATCTATTGAATTCTTCTTTATACATCGTTGTCTTTCTTTTAGTTTTACTTAGTCCTTTAGTGTTTTGGATGACTCAAAAAGATGTGTTTTCTTCTTCTAACCCTTCATTTATTCAATATTCTAATCTATTTATTACATTCAGTATTCCTATTATGTTTTTCGTAGGACATTTATTGGTCTCCAAACATAAGTGGAAATCAGTTCTGAGCTTCCCCATCAATTTTTACTTGTTTTTATGTGTTAGCATTTCTATTTCTTTTTACATGGTGATAGGAGTGATAGAAGGCTTTATGGGAATTAAATCAGCTTTTGTTCGCACGCCCAAATTTAGCTTGGGTACAGCAAATCAAGAAATAAAAGAGGCATATTCGTATAAAAAAGAGGTAAATATAACCATACTTGAATTCTTAATCTTAATCTATGGGATAGGGGTTATTATCTTAGGCTGGAAGTATGGAAATGGCTTGATTATTAATTTCGGTGTAATGATTACAGTCGGTTATGCCCTCAAAGTATTTTTTGCTAAGAGAGTATTTTAGTCTCAAATAGCGGACTAATAACTAACTTTAATTCCCAATTTACTCCAAGAAGCTCCTTTTTTATGTGACACAGTATAAAATTCTTTCATATTGTTTTCAACCTTGTTAGTATCCATATTAAGAATCCAATCTTTAATTGATCCACTTAGGCTATCAGGTCGATGGTAAATGTTATTGAAAGTATAAGAAGCTGTTCCCCATTCAGTACAAGGTAAGTTAGTGAAATAAGTAGTGAAGTTAGTAGGTTCCATGTCAGTATTGTAAGATACAATTTTGAATCCAGGGTTGTTTTTAGATCTAGGGGTAATACCAGGACAACTGAAAGCAACCTCAGAATACCCTCCACTAGAGTTGGCTAATAATCTTAGTTCATCCATGTGAGTATGCCCATAGAAAATTCCGGAGATGGTACTCTCATACTGATTCACATAATTTAAAAAATCATCTTGCCAATGCTTATGTGCCCACATGGAATAATCGGAGTGATATTCATGAGTTTTATAGGCATCTAATCCAGGAGGAATATGCATCATAATGTATACCTTTTCTTTAAGACTGTCAGCTGATTGAAGCTGTTTTTTTAGCCAGCTCATCTGATGGTCTCCAGCTTCCAGCTGAGTTTCAGGAGTAAGGTTATGAGAGTGACAATTATCACTGTGGTAGGTGTGTCCTAACAAAACTGAATTCAATGCGATAATACGTAGTCCGTCAAAAGGTTTGGCTGAATAATATCCATAAATACTATCATTGTAGTACAATTTATTAGCATTGGGTGCTGGGTATTGTCCAGAAGGATCTAGAGAAAAAGCATTTTCCCCTGAACAATTAGTAAAGGCATAATAGTCGCCTCCCAGAGCATCGTTATTACCTGGGGTATAAAAGAAGGGAATTCCATGGGCAATACTAGTAAGTTCTTCTAGCATTTTTCTGATGTTTTTATTATGAGTTGAACCTGAATCAGGGAAGTGATCTGGCAAATCACCAGTATACATAATAAAACGCGGAGACTTATGCTTAATTACTTCTTTAATCTTAGCTTTAGCTTTATTCCATAATAACATACGTGTATCTTCACCGTAATCGGTAGGGTTGATGCTATCAGTAGCATTCAGATGAATGTCTGACAAGAACAAGAAATTTTCTGTAGGTGATGCTAAAGAGCTTTTTACTGTGCTAATAGTTTCTTCTGTACCTTCTTCCTGAGAGTTTTCTGAGGAACAACTTACTAAAACAATACAAAGGACGAGAAATGGGCAAAATGAATAATAGTTTTTCATGGTCAATGGTTTATTAGACTAACAAGATAACGAATTTATGTTATCTATTGATAATGAATAGGTTGAAAATTAACAGGATAGGTTTTTTTGGCCTCTAGTAGATTAACTCAGAGTATTCTTAACGAGTTCTCTAAAAGAAGGTAAGACTTCTCTTGCAAACCACTCATTTTTGGCCATCCAAATATTGTTTCTCGGAGAAGGGTGTGGTAACACAAAATGATGGGGTAAATACTCTTGAAAATTTTTAACTGTCTCGGTTAAGGTCTTTTTTTTCTTATCCTTTAAGTAATATCCTTGGGCATAGCTACCAATTAAAACGATGAGTTCGAGGTGTTCCATCTTATCAAATAATTGATCATGCCATAATGGAGCGCATTCTTTTCTTGGAGGTAAATCACCAGATTTTCCCTTACCAGGATAGCAAAATCCCATTGGAATTAAGGCAATTTGGGTAGGGTCATAAAAAACTTCATTAGTAATGCCTAACCATTTTCTTAAGTTTTCTCCACTCTTATCGTCCCAAGGAATTCCAGAAAGATGAACCGCTTTACCTGGTGCTTGTCCAATAATAGCAATTTTACTGGTGGGATGAATGCTCACTACAGGTCTTGGTCCTAATTCTAAGAAGGGTTTGCAAACTTCACATTTTGATATTTCATTAATTAATTCCACTACATTAAAAGTAATGAATTTTTTTATAACAATAATTAGTTTTATGTTAAGGAATTAAAAGTCAAAAATGATTTAATTGACTGTTTTTTAGCAATTTATTGTAATACAATGAGGTTAAGGGAAATAGTTTTTTTATTCATTTTAGCCAAGATTTTTGAACTATGGTTAGTATATTTAACTATCAAAAAGAAGGAATACATAAAAGGTAGAGGAGCTCAACTTAATGTGCATAACCGTTTTCAACAGGATAAACATTTTGTTGAAGATGAGTATTTGAATTATTGTGAAAAGGAAGGGGAATCTCCTGATGATAATCGAACTAAATACATAGAGATTTTTCCTAAAACTATTGTCAATAAAGTAACGAGTGAGGACATTGGTTTAGCTTATTCGATGAATCCATATCAAGGTTGTGAGCACGGCTGTATTTATTGCTATGCTCGAACAACTCATGAGTTTTGGGGGTATAGCTCGGGCTTAGATTTTGAAACGAAAATATTGTTTAAGCGAAACGCTCCTCAATTATTAGAAAAAAGATTAAACAGCAAAAATTGGAAGCCAGTTAACATCATGTTCTCAGGTAATACTGATTGTTACCAACCTATAGAAAAGAAATTGGAAATTACCAGAGAGATGCTTAAAGTGTTATATAAGTTTAGGCATCCAGTTAGCATTATCACCAAGAATAAACTTGTATTACGAGACCTAGATTTACTAAAGAAAATGGCTAGGTTAAATTTGGTTAATGTGAGTGTATCTATTACTACGTTAAGTGAGGAGACTAGGAGGATTGTTGAGCCAAGAACAGCTTCCATTAAGAATAGATTGGATACTGTGAAAGTTCTATCTGAAAATGGAATCCCTGTAAATGTTATGATGGCACCAATTATCCCAGCGATTAATAGTCATGAAATTTTTAATCTAGTAAAAAAAGTGAGTGAATTAGGTGCTCTATCAGCAGCTTATACTATTGTCAGGCTCAATGGGACAATTGGGGATGTTTTTATAGATTGGGTACATAAAGCCTATCCTGAAAGAGCTAATAAAATCCTTCATCAAATAGAAGATTGCCATGGAGGAAGTTTAAATGACTCTAGGTATAAAAAGCGAATGAGTGGAGAGGGTAAAATAGCCGAGCAAGTTGCGATTCAATTTGGATTGGCCAAAAGGAAGTTTATGAAAGGGAAGCAATTTCCAACATTAGATTATTCACTCTTTAGAAATGATTTTAATCGACAAATTTCAATGTTTTAAATGTTGGGTAAAATCATTGAAATTAGGCATAAAAAAAGCGCACTAAAAAGTGCGCTCCGTTTTCTATCAAAATAGATTAACTAATTACTATTGTTCTATTTTTTTTAATTTCTTCTTCTTTTTTTGGTATTGTGATGGTTAGAATTCCATGTTCATTTTTTGCTTCAATTTTATCTAAATCAATGTTTTTTGGTAAGTTAAAGGCTCTTGAAAATTTGGAGTAATTGAATTCTCTTCTCTCTTTTAAGTGTGTTTTTTCCTCAGAATTACTCTCTTGGGCTAAACTCACAGTTAGCTTATTCTCTTTTAAATCAATGGAGATGTTTTCCTTCTTGACTCCCGGAACGGCTAATTCTACCAAATGAGCCGTCTCTGTTTCGAAGATGTTAGCCAGAGGTGTATTGTTTATTAAGTTTCTTTTTACTGTTTCAAATGTTTCAGACCCTAAGACATCATCGATGAAAGTAGATAAGTTTGGCATTAAATTGTGTTGTGCGATTTTCATAATTATTGTTTTAAGTTATTTTTAATGTAAGTAATAATCGTTAATTTCAAATTCGTTAATCTTATTACAAATCGTAAACCAAATGCAAAAGCCCTTATTTTTCAAGTCAAAAAGACAGTTTTTATCGTTTTTAAATGTCAAAAAGTCACTATTTATTTTGTTAGTTGTTTTTTTAGGTCTCAGTTGTAGTTCTGAGAAGAAGGAGTACAAGAGAGAAATAAATAAAATTAAGGTAAAGATGCAAGAGCAAGAGAGTGCTTGGAATCAAGGTGATTTAGAGCGTTTTATGAAACATTATTGGAAGTCTGATTCATTGAGATTTATAGGTAAAAGCGGTTTAAATCACGGGTGGCAAACCACTCTCGATAATTATAAGAAATCCTATAAGAATAAGGACGAGATGGGGACCTTAAAATTCACAAATAAAAGCATTGACATTCTTGGAGAAGGCAGTATCTTTGTAATAGGCGAATGGTTACTTTCAAGGGGAGATAGTTTGGGAGATTTGAGAGGGATGTATTCTCTTATTTGGGAAAATAAAGCAGGGGAATGGGTAATAACTACCGATCATTCTAGTTAATTTAAAACGAAATTCATTGAGAAATACACTCAAACAGTTAATAGCAGGTCCTTGTAGCGCTGAGTCTAGAGAACAAGTACTAGAAACTGCTAAAGCATTATCTGGCTTACAAGAATTAACATATTTTAGAGCGGGTATTTGGAAACCAAGAACTGCACCTGGTTCTTTTGAGGGAATAGGAAAAGAAGGACTGTCTTGGTTGAGAGAGGTAAAAGAAAATCATGGAATAAAAACAATTACTGAAGTAGCAACACCTCAACATGTTGAAGATTGCCTTGAACAAGGAATTGATGCTTTATGGATTGGAGCTAGAACCACTGTAAACCCTTTCTATGTACAACAAATAGCAGATTCTCTTAGGGGAGTAAACATTCCAGTTTTTGTAAAAAACCCGCTAAGTCCTGACGTGGGGTTATGGATGGGAGCGATAGAACGGTTTAAACTCGCTGGAATTTCTAATGTATCAGTGATTCATAGAGGTTTTTTTTCCTATTCAAAAGGTATTTTTAGAAATCCTCCTATGTGGGAAATTCCCATTAAGCTAAAAACGGAGTTTCCTGATTTACCCGTAATTTGCGATCCAAGTCACATTGCTGGAGATAGTAAACTAATAGAAGAGGTGTCCAAATTTGCAATGCAACTTGGGATGAATGGATTAATGATAGAAACTCATCCGACACCAAACAAGGCATGGAGTGATGCAAAACAACAAATTACTCCAGGACGATTGAAAGAAATAATTGAAGCAATTATTGTAAATAAGGCAAATACAGCTATTAAACATGAAGAGTTAGCAATTCTTCGAGAAAAGGTAAATAATTCTGACGAAGAAATGCTAAAGGAAATAGCCAACAGGATGGAGATTGTAAAGAAAATTGCTAATTTTAAAAAGGAAAATTCAGCTACGGTGTTTCAATTGGAAAGATGGAAGTTTGTGCTTGAAGAATCTAAAAAAAAGGCAAAAGAATTGAACCTGAGCGAACAATTTGTAGAAGATCTGATGAATTTGATTCACAAGGAATCATTAAATATTCATCACACAATTTATAATTCTTAAGTAAAAAGAGAATGAAGAAAAGTATGGTAATTGGAGCCAATGGTCAAATTGGTACTGACTTAGTTAATGGCTTAGCTCGAAAATTAGGAAGTGAAAATGTTATCGCTACAGATATCAGAGAAGGAGATCACGGAGAAGTTCAGTTTGAATTGTTAGATATTTTAGACGGAGACAAGTTAAAGGAACTTATCGAAAAGCATAATGTAGGGACTGTTTATTTATTAGCGGCATTACTCTCTGCAGTGGCAGAGCAGAAACCTATGGCTGCTTGGAAGTTGAATATGGAGGGGCTTTTTAATGTGTTGGAATTAGCAAAAGATAAGGTAATTGACAAAATTTTCTGGCCAAGTTCAATAGCCGTATTTGGTCCAAGTACTCCTAGAGAAAATACTCCTCAGGTGACCGTAATGGAACCAACAACTGTTTACGGAATAAGTAAATTAGCTGGAGAAAGGTGGTGCGAATATTACCACGATAAATATGGAGTTGATGTACGAAGCATTCGTTACCCTGGATTAATTAGTTATAAGGCTGAACCAGGAGGAGGAACCACTGATTATGCGGTGGCTATTTACTACAAAGCTTTGCAAGATGGTAAATATGAGTCTTATTTATCAAAAGATACTTATTTACCGATGATGTATATGGAAGATGCAATAAAAGCTACTATTGATTTGATGCATGTTGATTCAGAAAAAATTAAAATTCGTTCTAGCTATAACTTGGCTGGGATTAGTTTTTCCCCAGTTGAGATAGCCGAAGAATTAGCAAAGCATATTCCTGAGTTTAAAATAAGCTACTCTCCAGATTTTAGACAAGCAATAGCTGATTCATGGCCAAAGAGTGTAGATGATACAAAGGCAAATGAAGATTGGGGCTGGAAAAACACTTACAATTTGAGTTCAATGACTGAAGTAATGCTAAAAGGATTGAAGGAAAAATTAACTGTTACTGATTCCAACTAAAGATTCCTTTATACATAAGTGAAATTTCAAATCCACCTTGATAGACTGAGGCTGTTCGGAGTTTGGAGATATTGATGTCGTAACTGGCACCAACTTGTATACGCTGTTCCCAATCAAACTTTACAATAGCAACAACAGCATCTTTAACCCTATAAATCCCACCAAATTCTAAAAAAGAAGAGGTGTAATAGCCAGTATAACTACTTTGTAGCCCTAAATTCAATTTATAAGTACCTCCAATTCCTAGTACGTTACTAGCACCTTGGGAAGAATAGAATAACGTTGGAACTATAAAATCATCTCTGTATTCGGAAATAGGTAATTCGGATTTAGCGTGAGCAATAAATCGCATTCTTCGTTGATCGGCTCCACTTCCAGAAGCTAGAGTAGCTTTCCAAGTTTGGGTAGCATTTAAGATACTTACTCCAAGATTAGTTTCATTCTTTTTATTCCCTAAGAACCTAGCTAAAAACCCTCCGCTTAAATCAAAATAAGAGGAAGAAGTATTTAAGGAGCTTTCACCAGTTGGTAGCGAAGCATCATACTTAGTTCCATCGTACTGATTATCCCACCTAAGATTGTCATAATTAGCACTTATTTGTCCATATGAAAACCCGAGCCCCATCGATAAATCAAATTGCCTAGTTACGGTAATAGATTGAGAAAGGGAGACAGTAGCCTCTGTTCTTCCGTATTTCGTTTTTCCAGCTCTATCACTGTAAAAAGAAATTCCGACTCCAGTTGTTTTCATCTCGTTGTCATTTTTTAAAACAGGCATGTCATAAGATGCAAAAATTGTCTTATACGAATTTCCTACCGTTGCCCACTGGTTACGATAATTTAAATTTGCACGGTAATCACCAAAATAAGAACCTGCATTAGCAGGGTTTAGGAGCATAGGAGCTTCGTACCATTGAGAGAAATGAATTCCTTGTCCAAGGGTTATACAGCTCATTGATAGAATGAGTATAGCTATGAGAATTGATTTTTTCATTTACCTTTTTAGGGTCACATCTCCCTTCTTAATAATTTTTTCTCCACTACTGAGTGTCATTTTAACTGAGTAGAAATAAACTCCAGCCTCAGCTGCTTTGCCCTTGTAATTTCCATCCCATCCGTTATTAACATCATTCGACTCAAAAACAAGTTTTCCCCATCTGTCAAAGACAAAGAATTCCAATTTTTCAGCTTCACTGGATCTGACGAAAAGCATATCGTTTACACCATCCCCGTTTGGAGAGAAAATATCCGCGATAAAGAATTTCTCATCTGATACACAAATCTCTTTGGTCAGGGTATCATAACAAGGTCCGCTGTTCTTTACGATTAAAGTGACAATATAGTTACCACCATTGGCATAAATATATGTTTCAGAAGTATTTGAAGGATTATATGGCATAGGAGTACTTCCATCTCCAAAATCCCATCCCCCTGTTATCGCACCAATAGATTGATCTGTAACGATTAACTTTTTAGAATCAGAGCTAATACATTTAGGATAGGTATCTGGATTTAAACCAAAATCAGCCTTTAAATAATCATAACCAGGAATTACCAAGAAAGTGTCAATATAACAACCAAAACTATTGGAGACCCTTAAATATGCACTGTCTTTACCAACACCAAAAACGGTGTCACCAAGCACAGAAGGCTTAGTCCAGTTAAATGTATAGACAGCCTTTTGAGCAAGGTCAAAAGTCGCATAGCCAATTTCACCATAGCATACTGAAGGACTCGTATACAAAGTAGGAGTGATGGAGAGGACTGTAATGGTAGCTGTATCAGAACTTGAATCAGAACATCCATCATCTACGGTCAGGGTATATTGAGTAGTAGTAAGAGGAGAAACTGATTGACTGCTCGTTGTAGAAGTTGTGTGAGACCAAGAATAGGTATACGAAGGATTGGGATATCCCCCGACAGCAGAGCCTATGAGAGTTGCTGAATTTCCTGCACAAATTGTGTCAGCTGAGGTTTTTAAATCTGCTAAGATGGAATCTCTGACAAATACATTCTTTTCATCGCTTGTAAAACAAACTCCACTACCTACGGAATAAATAATCTGATGTGTGCCAGGACCGGCAACGGCAGGATTGAAAATCCCCAAGGTTTTATTGTAAGTGCCAGCACCGCTCCAAGTACCTCCTGTAGGAGTTGATGGAATGGCATAGTTTTGATTAGTAAAACAGAATGTGTCTTGCAGATTAATATTAGCAAGGTTAAATTGATACACTGTGACACGGATTGTTTTATCACAAACCCCACCTATAGTTTTGTATGTAATTACATGGGTTCCAGAACCAGCTACAGCTGGGCTAAAAAGACCTGTATTTGCATTAGTAATTCCAGTACCTTGCCAAGTAGCACCCGGCATGTTATTTATAGAGTCCAATTTAAATGGAGATTGAATACTACACACGGTAGTATCCCTATAAGATAAGGTATCAGGATAGATAGCAACCATTAATGAATCTTGACAAGTATTTTTATCATAGTAAATCATATGGAATCCATTCCCTAAGAACCTAGGGTATAAATAATAATTTGTACCGTAAGCTGTGACTCCTGTTCCAGACCAAACACCATAGTTAGGTTGGACAGAGACCCCTGGAATTGAAGTAATAAGAATTGAATCTTGTGATGGACAAATAAAAATAGTATCAGGGATAACATTTGTTTGAATAATATCCATTTGTAAGGTATCAGCACATCCTTTGAAAGAATAAGAAATTGTACTCATCCAATTTCCAGTCAGTGTTCCAGGATTAAATGTACCAGCATTAGTATCAGTGATTCCAACTCCTTTCCATACTCCACCCATTGGAGATCCAGGACTAAGATTAAAAGCAGGTTGCATAGGACAAGCGTTAGTATCTGGCCCAGCATTCACTTGAACCACAACCATGTTAATGGTATCACGACATCCTCTATAATAATAACGAACTAAATTACTTCCACTGTTAGCGATAGCAGGATTAAAAGTTCCTAAAGTAGCATTAGTAATTCCAGTTCCACTCCAATTACCACCAGTAGGAGAGAAAGGAAGGTTAAAAGGGACAGAATTTCCACATACAGTATCAGTATCATAGCCTAAAGCTATTGTATCCACAAATACATTGATAGAATCAGTACATCCATTTACAGTGTAATAGGCAGTGAAGTTTCCATATACAACAGGGGTAAATTGATTGGTAGTGGAGTTAACATGCGTCCCACTCCAAGTACCACCTGTTGGAAGTCCAGCAGCTAAATTAACAGGAATTCCACTAGCACATAGATTCCTATTCCACCTAGCATCAGGTCTGGTAACAATAATTAAGACGGTATCGGTACACGAATTTATAGTGTAAGTAATTAAATGAGTTCCATTACCAGCAGAGTTAGGATTAAAAGTTCCCAAGCTTGAATTGGTAATTCCAGGTCCACTCCAAGTCCCTCCCATAGTATTCGCTGTTAGATTAATAGGGAGGTCATAAGAACACATTGGGGCCACAGGATTAATTGTTGGATCTAGTACCTTTACATTAATTGTGTCATTGATGACCAAACCGGTTGAAATTTCAGTCACTTGTAGGTAGATGATTGTATCACCGGTAGGACATAAGTTAAAAGGTCCAGGAGAATTTGGCCATCCATTACTCCAAACATAGTTATATCCGCTACATCCACTTGGGACTGTACTAACATTTGTGCAGGTATTCAAACACAAAGAGTCATTGTAGGTAGTATTAATAGAAAAGGGACAGTCAGTTATACTAAAAGTATCTCTAGCAATAATAGAAATAGGTCCTTCACAAGAATCAGTAAAAGATAGATTAAAAGTCAAGTAATATTCACAGTTTCTTAGGAAACGAGGATTGATTCTCAGTCTCACAGAATCCAACATATTGTTAGTACAATTAATTGGATTTTGATTTGTTACATTGAAAGTTCCTACAGAACTAGTTAAGGTAAAGGTTACAGAGTCTAATAGATCACAAGGAATAGATTTATTAAATTTAACACGAAACCATCTATTATTACAAAGAGGGGGTTCAGCAGTATTATCAACAGTAATACCAATATCTTTATTTAAGGTGTCTAATACTTTTATGGTGACAGAATCTATGTATTGCTTCCCAGATGAACTTTCGGTTACAGTAACATAATAGGTAGTTGTAACTGTGGGGCATACAAGATGCGGTCCAGCAGTACTAGGTAGACCATTGCTCCAAGAATAGCTTAGTGTATTACAAGAAGGAGTGTTAGTTACTTCAATAGGTTTACAATCTCCAAAGCATACAGAATCATCAGGTGAAAGTTGAGCAAGCAAATCACAATTGACAAAATCGAAAGTATCTCTTACTGTAAAGTTGTAAACGCTGTCGCATACATCAGGAATTTTTATATCCATGACTAAGAAATATTGACAATTATTTACAAAAGGAGTGTTTAACCACACTCGAGCAAATCGAGAACTGTCATTTACACAGTTTACTTTAGTTATGTTAGTTACTGTCGGGGCATTATATCCTATAATATTTGTTGCGGCTGAAACAATAGAATCACAATGTAATTTCCGATCAAATTCAATTAAAAAGGAATTAGAATCACAAGCTGGAGGCTCTATTGTACTCACATTTAATATGGGAGCCACAATAGGGGGAGCAATGGAAGTCCAGCTACCGTTCCATCCTGTAAGTTGAAGAGTTCCATCTGAAACAAAATGAATAGTCATACAACCTGAAGTAGCAGTGATAAGTGGAGGGACAGGAGAAGGGGTACCTGTATATGCAACTAACAGTGGTGAGGCTGTAGAAGGACCATCATAGAAAAAGATAGTATCATTACCTTGCTCTAGACTTAAAAAAGTAAAATTGAAATAAATGGTAGCACCAGTTCCTGGACAAATGCTGAAAGTGAAATCTTCATTCATTCCATAGAGTCCTCCAAAGAGAGCATCAGAATCTGTAAGAATTCCATCGCAATCTCTTACAGTTGTATCTTTCATTTTATAGGTA